TTGAGTTTTTATCCACAAACCCTAAATAACATTGAAGAAAATAACAAAATTGAACTAGGAACTCAGTGATATGCAAACATACACTAACCAGAAAAATAGAAAGAAGTCGGCCAAAATTGAAGAAATTTTTTTATCGTAGCCGTCAGCTCAGCACAGAAACCCTACTGGTGGAGGTGCAGGAGGATGTCAGCAACGGCTCACTTGCACGATGATTTGGTGGTAAAATAAAGAAAATGACATTGTGTTTTTTTTTTACTTACTTTTTTTACTCATGTCTCATGGTCACGCCAGTATGTCATGAAGTTTTACAATATTTATAATGCCTTGGGTCTAGTCTTGCCTATGTTCTATGTAAATAAACTAAAGTTTTAGATGACATGGATAAAACTATGTAAAGTTAACAAAATTCACTTCAATGCAAAGATATTAGGTCCCTACTTGGGTTTACAATATACTCAAGGAGAGATCGAGTCTCTTTTTCTGCATGTCACATCATCAGGACCCAGTCTACTTTTATTGGATTGGAGAATATATTTTTTTAGACTGTATCTATTTATTAGGTAGCATATAATTTTTTAAGATTGAACTCAAAGTATTGTGGATGCTCTTAGAGCATCTACAATGCATTGCGTCTAGTCTTGCCTATGTGGCATGTAAATAAATTCAAGTCTTGGATGACATGGATAAAACTATATAAAATAGATAAAATTCACTCCAATGCAAAGAGGACTCAGTCTACTTTTGTTTACATTGGAGAATCCATTTTTTTAGACTATGTCTATTTCTTAGGTGACATATAATTTTTTGTGATTGAACCCAAAACATTGTGGATGTTCTTATAATTGGTCTATCTTTTTACTTAGGTCTCATGGTTACGCGTGTATGTCTTGGACTCTTATAGTTGGTCCATCGACTAATTCGAGAGTTAAACTGCGAAATGTGCCCTGTAGCCCGTACATGTTCTCTTTTACCTTAGATCCCCAAAAAACTTTAGAGGGTAAACTTTTTATACTAGCTAACCGTACCGCAATTCTCCATCCTCAAGAAACCTCAAATCCAGTCTGGCCCTATGAATTAGTATACACCAGTTGACTCTACGCGTATGGAGTAACTGATTATATAATAATTTTGACAAACGTATTAATATATTAACTAATTTCACTAACAAATTTAACTTTTTTTTTTCAAACAATAAAAATATTATTAACCTTCAAAAGTGTACATACGATTGTACACTGGCAATACAAAGCACTTTTGCATTTGATACACCAAACACAAATATGAAAAAAGACTCTTAAGAGAGGATCCACCCGAGGCAGACGCACAAGACACTAAAACTTGACACAACACTCCCGAGAGATGAAGGGTGTGTTTGTTAAAGATTATATTCAAACCAAATTCATTCTATTCAACATTTAACTCAACCCTACTGTTCTCCATATTATCAATATAATTAAATAATAACAACTAATTATTAAATAATAACAATTAATTATTTTTACACATCATATCAACTTTAATTCACTATACGTCCACTCACGTAATTTTAACTAATCATCACATCATATCATCTATCTCCTACTTTTACATCAAACCAATTTTAATTATAATTTTTAATATTATTTTAATATAAATTCAAAATCCCACTAACAACTAACTACACCACTTTTTCTAAATTAACCTTAGTTAACTCAAAAAAAAAAATCACTTTGAATTAATACACTCAAATTATTCCTTTAACAAACACACCCGAAACCACTCCCCAAATAGGAGACACATACTCTCTCAGGGAGACCCTAAAACATAAAGCATAAAAAACACAACAGAATCCTGGCCTAGCCGACAAGCTGAAAAAACTAAAACAATATAGCAAACTAAATTCCTCCTCACTGTCAGCAAGCTGAAAAAACTAAAACAATAAAACAAATTAAAGTCCTCCTCACTGCCAGCAAGCTACTCTAAAACTCCACACACGAAGCTAATGCCCAGAAGCGACCACCAAGAAAGACAAGACGTCGACCCTTAGTACAGATCTAGAAACTCCCAACTCCTGAAAGTAAAGGCTAAGGCTGAGTAAACCCAGACTTACAAATCGAAGCCCCCTTCCACAACCAACACTACCGGACAACAACACCTGGAAACCAGCCACAATCGCCTCCCCCAACACAACACCAGCAAACCTAACTCATTTCCATTAAGAAGAAACAAGCCCCAACTGGAGGAACCCATCCATCCCCTACCCAAAGAACAGAAGGAATCCAGGGGAAACAACAATATCGGCCCGCAACCCCATCTGTAAAGCCTAGTCGTCGGCTACACCTATCAAAGCGGCCCACCGAGAGAGGAGCTCCATACAAGGATAAGAAACCGCGACCATTCGGGAGAAAAAAGACTGTCCCGGTGCCGGTTAACGCCGCGAAGGAGCAGAGAAGAGGTGCAGCCGAGAAGATTAAAACGAGGGTGTTTTTTTCTTGATTTGGGATTTTTCTTCTTGGAGAGAGAAAAGATTGGAGAATATTTTATTGCATACCAACAAATTTAACTAATGGTCAGTATTTGATAAAATTTGTTTGTTACACGTCACGTGAACTTTAATTTAGTATTCATTCACTTATATAATTTTAACAACATATTATTTTTACATCAAATCAATTTTAATCATTTTATTTTAATTATTATTTTAACACAAACTTAAAATATCACTAAAAAAAAAATGTTATATTCCAACGGAAAATTTTATGATAATATATTTCAAAGGAAATTCCAACGGATACTCTAATGGTATAGCTTCCGTTGGAATCATTCCAACAAAAATATTCCGTTGGAATGTATTTTCATTGAAATTTCAGATGAAATTTGATGATTCCAACGGCTTTTGACCGTAGGAATTTTCGTTGGAATATGAAATTTCCGTTGGAATTTTTATTTCCACCACCGTTGGAAAATCTACCGTTGGAATCGTCAAATCCAACGAAAATTCCAATGGAAAATTCATTCCAACGAAATATTTTTGTTGGAATTTTCATTGGAATAATTCCAAATGAAATAATAGCATTGAAATATCCATTGGAATTCTATTAGAATATATTTCTGTTGAAATTTCATCATTTTCTTATAGTATACCAACTTTTTCAAAATCGACTCTGATTAACAAAAAAAAAACAATATAATACCAATATATTTGTAAACAAACATGCCCACAAGTGTTTAGCCGTGCAGTCAACATCTACATAAGCATTCAGATAGCGAATTAACAACCAACGCAAGTGTAATAATTAGCTTTAGCTTGTTTGGTGATGAGGTTATTCCATCAACTTATTGTTGTGTTTCTGTTATTATTTATTGAGCTTTTATTGTGATGATCGGGATAATTTGTGCTCATTTTTGTGTTTTTTTATTCCACCTTGTCATTATTTGTTACTTTTTTTTTTCTTTTTGTTCTACTGTATTTTTGTATATTTCGTACTCATTTGTGTTCATAAGTTCTCAACCACTTTGACATGTGAGAATTCACAAGAAAGTTAAATATGTACAGCTTTTCTCAATCTTTTCCTCATCAAGCAAAAGTTGGGTTAGTGTCACAAGAATGATCAACATTAATGATATGTGTATATATATATACCATTCATCTTTCGAATAAAAATAAGGGGAAAAAAATAAAAAAAGACATGATTAACAAGACCAAATTTAAGTTGCACACAAGTTCATTTTATAAGGTGTAACGGATATTATTCTTAGGATAATGTTTTATAATCAACCCTTGTAATTAACTTGTTCAATCAAGTTAGTGAAGTTATGACCTTTTGATTTAGTATTTGTTTTGTAGTTTTTGAATTGCTTATTTTTTATATTAAAAGTTAAAAACTATGTTTAAGTGTTTGGAATTAAATAAAACATTCATAATAAATACTGCTGGTGTTAGCCACTTAACCAGCCATATTTTTTCAACAATTTACCTACTTTCATATTTAAATGTTATTCTTCAAAAACAATATAAACAAAAACATATTATTTTATAATATAAATATACATTTTCGTTAATAAAGTGTAATTGTCTAACTATTAGGCCATCTAATAAAAATAATTGTGTTTTATAAATAAGTACTTTATTCATTATATAAAATAACCATACATTAAAAAAAAATTAATGATATTTTAATCCACGTATCTATTAATTTAAAATTAATAACTAGCTCAAATATACTCATTACCCACGGATCACTGAAACAAATAACAATAAAAAAGCATATATCATTTACTTATTCATTTTTCTTTGAAATAACATCTATAATTGTTTTGGATTATATCAAACTTTAATTTTTCCTTAAAAAACACCGTTATATCACATCTATGAATTATAAAAAGATGGTAAACATCTATGAATTATAAAAAGATTGTAAAGTAATAAAAAAGCATATCATTTATTTATTCATTTTTCTTTGAAATAACATCTATAATTGTTTTGGATTATATCAAACTTTAATTTTTCTTTAAAAAACACAGTTATATCACATCTATGAATTATAAAAAGATTGTAAACATCTATGAATTATAAAAAGATTGTAAATTTATATATATATATATATATAGATAGATAAAAGAAGTGGAATACACTTGATCAATAAAATTAGAGAAAATACCAGCCGTGTATTCTTTCTTTTTAAAAAAAACCTAGAATGGTATGCAGGTTTTTATTCTCTTTTTTCCTTCCAAAATTAAAAGTTCAAACTAATTAAACAAACAAATTTCGGCATTGATACCATAAGTATATAGTCCATGTTTTTTACCTAATATAAAAGAAAATCCCGAACTTTCCACGAACTTATGTAAGAATTCATCATTTCATGATAGCCAAATGTGCTAAGAAGATTATTAAACAACTTGACTAGTCATCGCTTGACAATTATATTTTTCCTTTTTCCTTCAGCTTCCAAACAATATAGCCTCTAATTTCTTTCTTCAATTTTGCCTGCGTGTTTCTTTCTTTCTTTCTTTCTTTCTTCCTCATACTTTTAAGTTTTTTCCAAAGACAACATCAGCCATGAGCATGCCTAAAAGAAGTTTGCTCAAGATCATTCTCCTTGGAGACAGTGGGTAAGTTTTCTTGTCTACTTTTATACACTTTTATTTTTTTGAATATTGATTTCTTCCCTCGTACCATTTAAGTGTTTGTTCAGATAATCTTAATACTATCAAGATTGACTAATAAAATGATCATGGTCATTTGTTTCTCGAATATATGTTTGCTGCTTATTTTGCTTCTAATGTTCTTATGTTTTGCCATTAATTTAATCGTCGTTTTTTCAGGGTGGGAAAGACATCTCTAATGAATCAGTATCCATCTTTGTCGATTTATTTATTTATTGGTGACGAAAAATTAGAGATTTGTACTCGTGCTTGAATATTTTATTGTACTCTGTTAACTACTACTATACCAGATATGTGAATAAAAAATTCAAACCTCTATACAAAGCAACAATAGGTGCCGATTTTGTCACAAAAGAGCTACAGTTTGATGTCGACAAATTAGTCACTTTGCAAGTAAGTGATAAAACCCCCCACTTGCATCTGATTTTTAGAAATTCTATGGTGCCCATATGGGCACCATATTGTGCCATAATTTCACGATCCAACGCCTAATATCCATTGTGGTATTGATAGAATGGATATTAGGCGTTGGATCGTGAGATTTATGGCACCATATGGTGCTCATATGGGCACCATAGAATTTCTGATTCAATTCTCAAATAATTAAGTTATCACATTATCCAAATGTTTGTCTCTTAAAAGACACGAAAGTTGAACTTGAACAGATATGGGACACGGCCGGACAAGAACGTTTTCAAAGCCTAGGTGTCGCATTTTATAGAGGCGCAGATTGCTGCATTCTTGTTTATGATGTGAATGTACGTAAATCATTCGAGACGCTGCAAAATTGGCACCAAGAATTTCTCAAACAGGTAATTACACATTAGCCCAAAAAATGCAATTTTAGTTTTGCTGGTTTAACGCCGTAGCAATTTTAGTCTCAAGTTTCCAACTTTTCGTGTTTTGTTCTTGTGGTTTAATATTTGATTTCAATTTCTGTCATTTGAGAACTGAAATCGACAAAATTTTAAATTACAAGACTTAAATTGCTAATAAAATAAAAAAATTCATCCCAGAGATATAAATTGTGAATTTGTTGCAATTTCTATTCTTAAAGGATATTAAATTACAGGCGAAATGCTAGAATTTTGAGACTAAAATCACTATGACGTTAAATTAGTAGGATTAAAAATGCAATTTTGCCTTACACATCATTAGTACTATTGATTGCTTGTAGTTCATGTTAGTGAAATATTTTTAGTGTACAGTTTTTTTTTTTTTTCAAATTTTGCTAAATATTTTTAGTGAAAGTAAAATTGATCGGTAGCTAATTTGTCTTTCAGGCGGACCCTGCGAACCCGGAGAAATTTCCCTTTGTGCTAATTGGGAACAAGGTGGATGTTGACGGTGGCAACAGCCGTGTGGTATTAATGTCCAAAAAAACTCGGCACATATATATTATGCATGCTCGTTAATTATTTTAGTTGCAGTTTGTAAATATTTTTTGTTATGTTTGGCTCTTAACTTAGGTACCGGAAAAAACGGCTAGAGATTGGTGCATTTCGAAGGGGGACATACCTTATTTCGAGACCTCGGCAAAGGAAGATTACAATGTGGATGCTGCATTCTTCCTTGTAGCAGAAACTGCACTAGCCATGGAGCCAATCAATATGTAAGGAAAGAAATCAAGAAAAATAAATGTGTAAATCATAATAAAGAAAATTTGAATTAAAAAAAAAAAAAAAACTTAATCCTTTTTTTCCCCCCTTTTTTCATGGTCATTTATTTATGTTGCAGTTGGCCTGTCTTAGATGAAGACATACCATCCCACTGGTGAGCATCAGCTTAATATAACTGTTTCTTTGAATTTAAATTTCTACATGATGCAGGATTTGGAGTTATAAATTATTATAATGTATGTAGCATGTATGGTTTTGAGATTTATATAAGTAAATTATAATAATATTTGCTCCGCCTTTTCTTTTTGTGCAGTGATCTTCCAATAATTTCAGAATCAATATCTGGGATTGAACAACCAAGAGGAGGTGGCTGTGCTTGCTGATAAATAACTAAGGCCCCTCTCTAATTCAATGAGACTATCATATTTGCTTCATAATTATTGCAAGAATTTGTTTGTATTGATCTCAATCTCATTGTGATATTTTATTTATTAGCATTATTTTTATTGGTTCATTCATTTCATACTCCTGATCACTAATATAGTTTTTGGTTGCTACAATGTAAAATTCAATTTACAATTATTTGTAAGATCCATTCAAATGATGAAGCTTATAATTTTTTTTTTATAATTAATGGGTGTGTGTGTAAATTTACAGGATGTCATTGTTGAATGGATAGCTTATTTCAATATATGTCATTCGCATTAGGTTGGCTATTCTTATGTCACTTATTTGTCTATCCATATCAAACTAATAAAAACATCTGTATATGACTCATCCACTGCAAATGGCATTGGAAAATATGATAATAGGATAGCTCAAAATATTACGTTATATTTTTTGTTTACTTGGGCCAATAGGTCTCGAGTTCGTGCCACCCAATGAGTAAGTGGAAAATCACTATTGATCCTCTTTTGAAATTAAAGAGGGAAAGAATAAGTAATTTGGAAAACAAATTGAGATGCCACTTTTATACCTATTAATAGTAAGGCATACATATTGTATTAAGTAATTGTAAGAAAAATTTGTTTTGTACTACTTTTATGCTTTTGCTTAGAATAATCTTAAAACATTTTAGTTTCAATGGAAATTAATTGTATAGTTGAAATTTAGGGGAGTTTAAGTTTATGTAACTCAAAATTGATGTTTAAGTAACACAAAGATTGTAGGATTTACAAACATTGTGTCTCTAACAAATGTTTGAACAAGCGAAACGAATCATAATCATGCAATATGCATGCTAGAACTCTAGATGGGTTCTTTGGGGACTACTAAAAAAAAACAGAACACGATTCCGAGTCCAAATGAGCGCGCTCCCAAAGCAGGTGTGCGCCAGGCCCCGTGGCGAGCGGGAAGGTCGTCACTAACGCGACGCCTGATTCGGCCCTCCACTTTGGCGCGACAACTCATTGCAGACTTGACGAGCAAGCGACCCGAATGCACCTGTTGGTGCCGAAAATGTTTGTATTCAGTTTCAGAGGACTGGGCACGTCCCAAAACGTGTCTTTTGATGCCTTGAACCCCTGCAAACGTATAAGAACAACAAAAAACTCCCACGAAGTGAAATCATTCATAAAAAATTATATTTTAGAACTCTTTGCATCTTTTTACAGAGTTGATAAAAGCATCTCTTGTTCTATGTGTTTGGTTCTATCTTGAGAGTTCTAAAACTTGAGTATAGTTCGCTGAATATTTGAGGATTTGAGTTGCCGATGTACACAAATAAAAAATCGTTGTATTTTGGAGGCGTTAAACGTGAACCGTGGATAAAATACGATGCTATTTCGTCTTAAAGAAAGCATATCTCACGTACCTCGACTTTCATTTGTTTTGTCGTCTTTCATCTGATTTTTTAAGTCATTTTATTGACATCTACAATTTTTGGTAATAACGTTTAAGCTATTAATTGTTGAGAATGAATCTAGGACTGCAAACGAATCAAGTCGAGTAGAACTTGGACCTTGTCTATCGTAGATCGAACTTTCTTCTCCACTACTCGAGCTCGAGCTCGACGAGCAATGTAAAATGCATTTTATCTATATATTTATTTACATATGCATTTCACCAAGTATTGCTTATCCCCCTATGAACCAACTTCCCGCCGTGCCGCCGCAGCTGCTCCGCCATCTCACCGACCACAAGAACCTCCGCTGCGGCAGATCCCTCCACGCCCTCCTCCTCAAGGCCGGCGCTCTCTCCGCCAGTGCCTCCCTCTCAATCTCTCTCCTCAACTTCTACGCCAAATGCGGCTCCTTCTCCGACGCCCGGCTCCTGTTCGACGAGACCCCGTGCGAGGGCAGCGCCGTCGCCTGGAACATCCTCATCAACGCCCATTCCCAAACGGGGAGGGCCCACGATTCCTTCTACGCCCTGCAGTTATTCCGACAGATGCTCTGCCGCCGCGCCCTCCCCAACTCACACACCTTCGCCGGTGTATTCTCCGCCGCCGCCGTCCTGGAGGACTCCGGCGCATCCCGTCAGGCGCATTGCTTGGTGGTAAAGTTACCCGACTCTAGGGACGTGTTTGTTTACAGCTCGATGCTGAACACCTACTGCAAGCTGGGGTTTATGAGTGAAGGCCGAAAGGTGTTCGATGAAATGCCCGTGAGAAATTCGATCACCTGGTCCACCATGATCTCTGGTTACGCCTCACAGAGGCTAGCAAACGAGGCCTTTGAGATTTTCAGGGACTTGCTGTCCACTGAAAGGGACGAGGCTAACGAGTTTGTATTTACAGGCATCTTGAAAGCTTTTACATTGCCCGAGTTCATTAATCAGGGGAAACAAGTCCATTGTTTGGCCATAAGAAACGGGCTAACTGAAATTGTGTCCGTCGGGAATGCCATTGTCACCATGTATTCGAAAGCCGGGAACTTGAGTGACGCGGTTAAGGTTTTCGAGCTTTTGTCCGACAAAAATTCAATTACTTGGTCGGCTTTGATCACAGGGCATGCCCAGAGTGCAGAAGGTGATATCGCAATCGCATTATTCCACAAAATGCATTTTCTCAATCTGAAGCCAAGCGAGTACACTCTCGTAGGCGTGCTCAACGCTTGTAGCGACACTGAAGAAATAAACACCGGGAAACAAGTGCACGCGTATTTAACAAAACTGGGCTTCAATTTCCAGATGTACATAACAACAGCCCTCATCGATATGTACGCCAAGTGTGGATTCATAGTCGAGGCCCGTAAAGGGTTCGATTCTCTTTACAATCCCGATCTCGTCTTGTGGACGTCCATGATTGGGGGCTACGTGCAGAACGGCGAAAACGAGAGCGCCTTTAATCTCTACTGCACGATGCAAAAACAGAGGATTTTCCCAAACGAGCTTACAATGGCAAGCGTGCTTAAAGCGTGTTCGGGCCTTTCGTCACTCGAGCAAGGGAAACAGGTTCACGCGCACGTGGTGAAAAACGGGTTCACACTTGAAGTCCCGATTGGAAGTTCTCTCTCGACTATGTATGCGAAATGCGGGTCTCTTAAAGACGGGCTTCACGTCTTTCGAAGAATGCCTGCACGAGATGTGGTCTCGTGGAATGCAATGATTTCCGGGCTTTCTCAAAATGGGCTCGGGCTCGAAGCTATAAAGCTTTTCGAGGAAATGCGGGCCGAAGGTGCGAAGCCCGATGATGTCACGTTCGTGAATATTCTCTTTGCATGTAGCCATATGGGGTTGGTGGATAAGGGTCGGGAGTATTTTGAGTCTATGAATGAAAAATTTGGTGTGGTGCCGAAAGTCGAGCATTACGCATGCATGGTCGACACATTGGGCCGGGCTGGGAAGCTTCAAGAAGCCCGGGAATTTATCGAATCTGTGAAAATCGAGCATGGACTCTATTTGTGGCGAATTTTGTTGAGCGCTTGTAGAAATCACAGGGATTACGAGTTGGGTGCTTATGCGGGGGAGAAGTTGATTGAGTTGGGATCTCAAGAATCGTCGGCTTACGTGCTTTTGTCGAGCATTTACTCTGCTTTGGGGAGATTGGATGATGTGGTGAGGGTGAGGAAGATAATGAGTGCGAGGGGGGTTAGTAAAGAGCCCGGGTGTAGCTGGATCGAGTTGAGAAATCAGGTTCACGCGTTTGTAGTTGGGGATATGTTGCATCCGGAGATTGAGGATATACGGGCTCAGTTATGGAGTCTCAGTGAAGTCATGATGATGAAAGCGGCCGAGCTTTTGCGACTTGATTGTTGGTTGATTTTGGAAGAATGATGCGAGATTGTTGCAGCTTTTTCTTTTTTCTTTTTTTTTTTTCAATTTATTCAACGGCTGAGGTATTAGTCTATTTATATATACTAGTACAGTCCCCGTGCGATGCACGGAGGTTTATTATCTCCGTCCCTTTTATAAAGCAATGTTCAGTTAAAATTCAAAGTACTTACTAAAGGAAAGATCATGTCATTAATAATAAATAAATTAATAAATACAATGATAATAAAATTTATATATTATTGAACACTTCCTTATATGCAACGTTCATGGTTTGATTCTTTGGCACGTCAGTCGCCACAAATTAGAACTTTCAAACCCAATTCTGTTTGTGACACGGGAGACAACAACATACAATTGACCATGACTAAACACTGGTTTCTTAAGAAATAAGCCCACACGTGATAATGATTGTTCCTGACTCTTATTTATAGTAATGGCGTAAGAAAACATAATGGGAAAAAATCAATCCAATAACATCTACAAAAATATAAGATAATGCATCATATTGAAATGTATAACATATAAAATAGTTTATTACAGATTTTAAATTTAAAAAAATCGAAATAAGAAATAAACAAAAAAATTGTAACGTACCAAACAACATGACTTCATCAATGTTACGAACATCCATTAAAGTTAGAAATAAGAAAATCACCCCTCCATTTGATAATCTTGGTTTGGCCATTGATAATGCTCCTTCTTTTTCTTATCATCGATTTATGGATGCCAATATTGCTTTCCACTTGATAGTTTGTCAAGATATAAGCGCCACCTTCTTCAATATCACCGATGATTTTTTGGATATTGACAGGTCGAATTATGCCAGTAATTCATCCTCCCTAAAACATTGCATAATGAATAATTCAATAAAAAAATTATAAAAGATGTTGCATAAAATGATGAATTTAAATCATACTAAATGAATATATTATCTCAAAATCATGAAAGATAATCTCAAGAACATTTCGGTAATTGCGTACGTCTTTAACTCGTTGGAACATCCTAATTATGCGTAGCTTGATTGGTAGCTTATTAGATCTTTTGATATCCTTGATTACTTCAAAATCCGAAGTCATTTTCAATGGTGATGTAAAAGCTTGTAGAAAAAATTGTTTTGTGGGATATATTGGATGTCGAATACTTTTTGTTCAAAGTTGGTGATGTTTATATAATCATGTGTATGTGACATATGTCTGAGAAATAAAAAATTATTTACGTAAAGTATTTATTATTTAATATGATCCGATATGTTTTTTTAATTATGATTATGATTGACTTCTAAAAATATGTGTTATCGATTTTGTTAAAAAAATAAAAAAAAATGCGGAACGTAATTCACTTGTGAGGGACGAACGAATATTCAGAAGATTATGCAGCCAAAAATAATGGAGTTTGTTACAATGAAATTTGGTAAGACATTTTGGATAGATTGAAAAATAATATTTTTATTTTTATATTTTCTTATTTATTTGGACAAATTCAAAACTTTAATTTACGAAATTATAATCTTTAATTTTTTGAAACGTGTAAAATTTTCTAAGATAACTTCTATAAAACAAAATGTGATCAAATCATAATTGATTTTTATGCTTCTAAATTCCAAATCAAACCTTATAAATATGGTATGATTATTTACTATTAATATTTTATTTTTTCAAACATTTGATTCTCTTAGGTTTATATGAAACAAAGTTCAATCAAATCAAAATTGATTTTTATGCCCACACTAAAACTTTATCAATATGATATGTTTATTTTATTTATTTATTTTCTTTCAAATTCACAACTCAAATTTTCGAGAGAGAGAAAAAAAAGGAAAAAAAATCTTATCAAACCTTATCAAATTTTCGAGAGAGGAAAAAAAACTTGGAAACAAAATCTTATCAAACCTTATCAATAATGAAGATACGTGTTTCCATGAAAAGCTAACAAAATCCCGTGGTTACCAAAATCCTATCAAATTAGTTAACAAAATTCCATTAAATTGGTTAACAATATTAGAACGCATTTTGTTAAAGAAGATTTACGTAATTTATCTATCTAATTAATATCATATTAACGTGTGGGCCCAGTGATATTAATTTAGTATAGCATCCATTATCTCGGAATAATTTTTTGTTTGATTTACAACATTAATTTGAATGAAAAAAAATCCATAATTGTTGAGATATCTCAATTCAAAATCTCATTGGCATAAGAATCTTCAAGTTTGTTACCAATAAAAATAGAATCTCCAAATTTGTTACCATAAGAATCTTCAATTTGTTACCATAAGAAACCCATAAAAATCTCCTATGGATTGGAATTTATCAATATTTAGTATAGCATCCATCATTCTCGGAATAATTTTTTGTTTGATTTACAACATGAATTTGAAGGGGAAAAAATCCGAAATTGTTAAGATATCTCAATTTTTTGGCATAAGAATCTCCAATTTGTTACCATAAGAATCCCATAGAAATCTCCTATGGGATTGGAGTTTATCAATAGTTGGTATAACATCCATTATTTTTGGAATAATTTTTTGTTTGATTTACAACATTAATTTGAATGGAAAAAAAATCCATAATTGTTGGAATATTTCAATTCAAAATCTCAATTTTTTGGCATAACAATCTTCAGATTTGTTACCAATAAAAGTGATTCTTATGGATTAATATTTAAAATGAATTAAATTTTGGTATAGAAATCTTCAAATTTGTTACCATAAAAATCTCTAATTTTTTTGGGATATCTCATTTAAATTTGTTACCATAAAAATTTTCAAATTTGTTATCATAAAAATCTCAATTTTTTTTGTACATGTGTTTTTTTCGAAATTTCCATTGATAGTAAGTCAAATCATTTATTTTTTTAGTCAAACTTACTATAAAAGTATTTTTCCAACAACCTCTTTATATTACTATAGATTTAGAAACTTTTTTTTTTCTAAATGAAAGGTTTCTTTATTAAAAAAATAAAAAATTTCTTTTGAGTAGTTCTATCGACTTTACTAGAAATCCTCCGGTCGTGTTTAACACAATCGACCATGTGAAAATTCGTCTGTCTGTCGCATAGTTTATCGCATAAGTAATTCACACTTTCTCAATTAACTTCACGTGTTTGTTACATATTTTATTGCATAATTTGTTTCGCACTTTCTCAATGATCTTCGCATGTCTGTCGCAAACTTTATCGCATAAGTTATTCGCACTTGCTCAACGAACTTTGCATGTCTGTTGCATGTACGTGTTTCGCACTTTACTCAATGAATTTTGCTTGTGTGTCGCATATCATATCGTATAAATATTTCACATTCTATAAATTATCTTCACCTTTCTTTCTTTATGTCGATAGTTTATCACATAATAGTTTCATACTTTATCAATTATTTTCACATAACTGTCACTTAGTTATCATAATATTATTGAATTTATCAAGTATCATCGTTTGTTTGTAGCATAGATTATCGCATAACTATTTCGCACTGCATTAAGTATCTTAGCATGTTTGTCCCATAATTATTTTACACTTTATCGATTATCTTCGTCTGTCTGTCGCATATCGTCTCGCATAAATATTTTGCACTTTATCAATTATATTCGCTTGCTTGTCGCATATCTTGTTGCATTATGTTTTCACACTTTATCAATTATTTTCGTTTGTCTGTCGCATAGCTTTTCGCATCAATTATCTTCGTTTGTCTTTCGTATATATTATCGCATAATTGTTTCGCAATTTATCAGTTATGTTCTCTTGTTTGTCGCATAATTTATCGTATATTTTTTTCACACTCTATCAATTATATTCGCATGTCTGTCGCATAGTTTATCGCATAATTGTTTCGTACTTTATCAATTATGTCCGTCTATCTATCATATACTTAATTGCATAACAGTTTTGCACTTTATCAATTATCTTCGGTGTGTCTTATAGTTTATCGCATAATTGTTTCGCATTTTGTCAATTATCTTCGATGTGCCGCATAATCTATCGCAAAATTGTTGCACTTTATTATTCACTTACTTATACTAGATCTTACGGAGCCTGCTCGTGTACAAAGACGATTCGGATCTGATCATAGAAAAGATTCTCTTCAAGCAAACCAGCCTATCTTCTGTCTTCTGTCTAGTGATTACGCAGTGGTTGGAACAAAGACACATTGGGTTGTGAATTCCAATGTGGCAGACATATATCTACACAGACCAATCAATAGTTCAAATCACACACTCCCATAATCCATTTTCTCTTCTGAGAATTCCCCTCAACCTGACAATATTTTTTATTTGACATGATTAGTTGAAGAGAAATATCCAAAATCATGTCTTATTATTCGTTTGTTTGTCGCATAGTCTCTTGCATAACTATTTCACACTTTGTGATCAAATATATTCGTCTTTAAATTGCATAATATATCGCATATTTGTTTCGTACTTTATCAATTGTCTTCGTATGTCTGTCGCATAGCTTACCATATAATTTATTTCATAATTTATGAGATGAAAAATTTAACTTATTATTTAGTGGTGTTTAAATTTATTTCGTCTGCAAAATTGTTATTATAGTATTATTTTTCACGTCTCATGTCATGTGCATTGCACATGCCTAAACACCCGTATATAAATAAAGATGAGAGTATTCCGTAAACAATATTCCCGTTCATTATCTAGTTATCATAAGAGAAAATGTTGAAAATGTTTTTCTTTATAAATTTTGCAGTTTAATTTATTTGTGTGCTATATCATTTTTATGACTGCATTTTGACGCGCACATTAAGTATATAAAACAGAGATAAAGATTGATTTATATAGTTGAAATCATACAGATATATTACTCGACTTTGACCCACATTTTTAAATTTAATCGAAATTCATAATCAATATAATAAATAATTTTAATTACTCAATTCTTGCTATTTAATAATTTTTTATTAAATATTATAAAATATTTTTTATAGATATAAAAAATACTTTATTTTTTAAACCACTCATTTGTTGTTAACAACGCCACACCCACACCCCTGCAACGCAAATACCAAGATGGTAGTTTTGTTTACTTTGGTATTAGTGTATGCATTTAGTTAAGTTAATTATTTTTGGAAAGGCACCTCAAACAGGTTAATTGCATGTGAAATGTTTTGGAAATAATGAGAACAAGCATAAAATAAAAATAATGGCTAAATCCATGTGAAATTTTGTATAAACAATTTGTGGGTTGCTTTTTAATTGAGGTGCATCAACTTTTTGATTTAAATTCCAGCTGTACCACGGGCGATCTTTCTCTCTATATATAATTGACTTTCTTTTCTCATATTGTAGGAGCACTAATCAAACAGAATATACACAGAAGTAGATAAATAAGAATGAAGAATGTTAAAAGAAATGAGAATATATTATAGCCGTTCGATGTGATATATCAATATTTTAAACTTGGTCAACCACTCTACATGTACTACGGGTCACAAGTGCAGTGAAATTATCGTAATATTGTGTAATTTCAAATTTCTAACATTAACGTTTTTGTCATTTCGCAAAATATGCTAGAACGCTATGTGCATTTTCAAATATATTAATATGCATTTTCCTAACATTACTATGCATGTTGTACCGCGATGATATTTTGGTAATTTCGTGAACTTTTAAATATTCACGGAGTGATATTTTCGTTATTTCGTGAAATACAATGGTATACTTAATGAGCATATCCACAAGTAAAATTGTGCATTCCACTTATCATTATTGTGTTGTGAATCTAGTTGTACACTAAGTTGACAGTGTAACATTTTTCTTTTGTGCAAAATCAGAATATGAATTGTGCAACTCAATGAACTAAAATATGCATTTATGCACGGTAGAGATCCTCTTTTTCCATCTCTACTAAGGGTCGTCGTACGCTTGAGACTTCGCTGCTCTTGATTTTTCGACGTTTAACAACTCATATTCGATAAACAAGTCGAACTCAAGCTCATTTAACAACTCATTTAGCTTATAGTCTAGCAAAGTTAGGCTCGAAAAATAAAGTTTTTACGCTATCTCCTGAACTATTAAGTTAGTCCAATTTAATAATTTTAACTAATAAACCAAGCTGGAACTCTTTTATTGTTTAGTTTGTAATGATCGGAACTCGACTCTACTCGATAAAGGCTCGAACTAAAGATCATATTTTGTAAAATAATGGGTTCACTCACAGCTGGCTAAAAGTGAAGGGGCAGTGTTGTAAAAACACAAAATCTTTGAGGAATATAATATATCTACTCATTGAGATCCATATGCAGCTGCCTCCAAAATTCAATTGACTTGGCCTTAGCCAGCTATATCTTCTGCCCCCACCCAATAATAAACTCTCCTCATGTTCCCTCTTTTAGACCTGCCAAGAGCCTGCACATCACAAAACAAAGCAAAAAAAGGCTGAAAAAGAATATGGGCAGTCTCAAGCCCCAAACTTTGTACACCATTCTCTTTATTCTTGTGTCCATTCAAGGCCAAGCCTTGTGCAGCATTTACAAGGTTGGAGATTTACATGCTTGGGGCACTCCCATCTCTGAAAATCAACAAATCTACAACATATGGTCCAAAAATCACAATCTCAGAATTGGTGACTCCCTTTGTAAGTTTCTCTCTTTTTCTTTATATATATGTATTTTTCCATCAATCTTCATATCATTTGGTGAAATTAATAATTAAAATTGTAATTGGGCTCTGTT